TTTATTTATTTGGATAATGTTGCATTTGATTGCACATAACGAATGTACAGTCGTTATGTAATATCATAACGAATGTACATTCGTTATTTTGAATATCACTACGAATATACCCTCGTTTTATCTTTTTTTTTATCGTGATCAGTTAAATACACCTAAACCTTCGATATACGATCCATTATAATAAATGAACTCGAGTTATGGTGTCCCGATTCATATAACGAATGTAGTTTTTTGAAATAACAATACTTGATTTTATTTTTGGAAATTAATTTCGATAATGAATTCTCGTTATACGAACTTATAAAATACTAAAACTATACCCATAACGAGAGTAATTTCCTAATAATTTATTGTATAACGAAGATAGAGTCGTTTCGGGTGTTTTTTTGTCCAAAAATAACCATAACGAATATACATTCGTTATTATGTACTACATAACGAATGTACATTCGTTATTTTAAAAATCACTACGAATGTACCCTCGTTTTCGATTTTTTTATCGCGGTTGATTAAATACACCTAAACCTTCGATATACGATCCATTATAATGCATGAACTCGAGTTATGGTGTCTCGATTCATATAATGAATGTAGTTTACATAAAAATGGCTAAAATTACACCGATAACGAGCTTAATATCTTTATAGTGTGTTATTTTGACGATTGAGGTCTCGTTTAAGGTGGAATTGTTCGGAAAACTATTATAACGATTGTATAATCGTTTTTATTGAAAAAACAATTATACAATCGTTATAGTAATTTTTCGGGATAAACGCGATTTTTTCTGATTTTTCTATCGAATTACTTCATAAGGCACGTATACTCATGATTCGTGTCATTGGAACGATAGTTTGAAATTGTTGGAGCGTCCAAACACTCAAAATGTAACTCTTTTTTTAAAACACCAACACTTGTTAATATTTTTTTTTTTAAAAAAATATAAATATCATGTTAAATCTTTTTAGATTCTTTATTTTACATAAAAATTGCATAAAATTACACCGACTAAGGAGCTTAATATCTTTATAGTGTGTTACTTGATTGACTAATTTGACAAGTTTGAACGATAGTTTAAAATTGTTGGAGAGTCCAAACAATCACAATGTAACTCTTTTTTCAAAATAAACAACACTTAATATTTTTTTTAAAAAAAATTGTAATATAATTTTAAATCTTTTTAGATTCTTTATTTTACATAAAAATGCCTAAAATTACACCGATAACGAGCTTAATATCTTTATAGTGTGTTATTTTGACGATTGAGGTCTCGTTTAAGGTGGAATTGTTCGGAAAACTACTATAACGATTGTACAATCGTTTTTTATTGAAAAAATGATTGTACAATCGTTATAGTAATTTTCCGGAAGAAAACGCAATTTTTTTTCAGATTTTTATATCGAATTACTTGATAAGGCATTCGTATTCATGATTCGTGTCATTTGAACGATATTTAAAATTGTTGGAGAGTCCAAACAATCACAATGTAACTCTTTTTTCAAAATAAACAACACTTAATATTTTTTTTTAAAAAAATTGTAATATAATTTTAAATCTTTTTAGATTCTTTATTTTACATAAAAATGCCTAAAATTACACCGATAACGAGCTTAATATCTTTATAGTGTGTCATTTTGACGATTGAGGTCTCGTTTAAGGTGGAATTGTTCGGAAAACTACTATAACGATTGTATAATCGTTTTTTCATTAAAAAACGATTGTACAATCGTTATAGTTGAAAAAACGATTGTACAATCGTTATAGTAAATTTCCGGAAGAAAACGTGATTTTTTTCAGATTTTTATATCGAATTATACAATTTATTATATTATATATTATATTGTATGTTATATTATACTATATATCAGATTTTTGTATACTATATATATTATATTATATATTATATCCTATACTATATATTATATTGTATACTATATATTATATTATATATTATATCCTATATTATATATTATATATTATAACATATGTTATATTATATCATATGTTATATTATATACTATGTATTATATTATATATTATATCCTATACTATATATTATATTGTATGTTATATTATAACTATATATGTTATATTATCATATACTATATATTATATTGTATACTATATATTATATTATATATTATATCCTATATTATATATTATATATTATAACATATGTTATATTATATCATATGTTATATTATATACTATGTATTATATTATATATTATATCCTATACTATATATTATATTGTATGTTATATTATAACTATATATGTTATATTATCATATACTATATATTATATTGTATACTATATATTATATTATATATTATATCCTATATTATATATTATATATTATAACATATGTTATATTATATCATATGTTATATTATATACTATGTATTATATTATATATTATATCCTATACTATATATTATATTGTATGTTATATTATAACTATATATGTTATATTATCATATACTATATATTATATTGTATACTATATATTATATTATATATTATATCCTATATTATATATTATATATTATAACATATGTTATATTATATCATATGTTATATTATATACTATGTATTATATTATATATTATATCCTATACTATATATTATATTGTATGTTATATTATAACTATATATGTTATATTATCATATACTATATATTATATTGTATACTATATATTATATTATATATTATATCCTATATTATATATTATATATTATAACATATGTTATATTATATCATATGTTATATTATATACTATGTATTATATTATATATTATATCCTATACTATATATTATATTGTATGTTATATTATAACTATATATGTTATATTATCATATACTATATATTATATTGTATACTATATATTATATTATATATTATATCCTATATTATATATTATATATTATAACATATGTTATATTATATCATATGTTATATTATATACTATGTATTATATTATATATTATATCCTATACTATATATTATATTGTATGTTATATTATAACTATATATGTTATATTATCATATACTATATATTATATTGTATACTATATATTATATTATATATTATATCCTATATTATATATTATATATTATAACATATGTTATATTATATCATATGTTATATTATATACTATGTATTATATTATATATTATATCCTATACTATATATTATATTGTATGTTATATTATAACTATATATGTTATATTATCATATACTATATATTATATTGTATACTATATATTATATTATATATTATATCCTATATTATATATTATATATTATAACATATGTTATATTATATCATATGTTATATTATATACTATGTATTATATTATATATTATATCCTATACTATATATTATATTGTATGTTATATTATAACTATATATGTTATATTATCATATACTATATATTATATTGTATACTATATATTATATTATATATTATATCCTATATTATATATTATATATTATAACATATGTTATATTATATCATATGTTATATTATATACTATGTATTATATTATATATTATATCCTATACTATATATTATATTGTATGTTATATTATAACTATATATGTTATATTATCATATACTATATATTATATTGTATACTATATATTATATTATATATTATATCCTATATTATATATTATATATTATAACATATGTTATATTATATCATATGTTATATTATATACTATGTATTATATTATATATTATATCCTATACTATATATTATATTGTATGTTATATTATAACTATATATGTTATATTATCATATACTATATATTATATTGTATACTATATATTATATTATATATTATATCCTATATTATATATTATATATTATAACATATGTTATATTATATCATATGTTATATTATATACTATGTATTATATTATATATTATATCCTATACTATATATTATATTGTATGTTATATTATAACTATATATGTTATATTATCATATACTATATATTATATTGTATACTATATATTATATTATATATTATATCCTATATTATATATTATATATTATAACATATGTTATATTATATCATATGTTATATTATATACTATGTATTATATTATATATTATATCCTATACTATATATTATATTGTATGTTATATTATAACTATATATGTTATATTATCATATACTATATATTATATTGTATACTATATATTATATTATATATTATATCCTATATTATATATTATATATTATAACATATGTTATATTATATCATATGTTATATTATATACTATGTATTATATTATATATTATATCCTATACTATATATTATATTGTATGTTATATTATAACTATATATGTTATATTATCATATACTATATATTATATTGTATACTATATATTATATTATATATTATATCCTATATTATATATTATATATTATAACATATGTTATATTATATCATATGTTATATTATATACTATGTATTATATTATATATTATATCCTATACTATATATTATATTGTATGTTATATTATAACTATATATGTTATATTATCATATACTATATATTATATTGTATACTATATATTATATTATATATTATATCCTATATTATATATTATATATTATAACATATGTTATATTATATCATATGTTATATTATATACTATGTATTATATTATATATTATATCCTATACTATATATTATATTGTATGTTATATTATAACTATATATGTTATATTATCATATACTATATATTATATTGTATACTATATATTATATTATATATTATATCCTATATTATATATTATATATTATAACATATGTTATATTATATCATATGTTATATTATATACTATGTATTATATTATATATTATATCCTATACTATATATTATATTGTATGTTATATTATAACTATATATGTTATATTATCATATACTATATATTATATTGTATACTATATATTATATTATATATTATATCCTATATTATATATTATATATTATAACATATGTTATATTATATCATATGTTATATTATATACTATGTATTATATTATATATTATATCCTATACTATATATTATATTGTATGTTATATTATAACTATATATGTTATATTATCATATACTATATATTATATTGTATACTATATATTATATTATATATTATATCCTATATTATATATTATATATTATAACATATGTTATATTATATCATATGTTATATTATATACTATGTATTATATTATATATTATATCCTATACTATATATTATATTGTATGTTATATTATAACTATATATGTTATATTATCATATACTATATATTATATTGTATACTATATATTATATTATATATTATATCCTATATTATATATTATATATTATAACATATGTTATATTATATCATATGTTATATTATATACTATGTATTATATTATATATTATATCCTATACTATATATTATATTGTATGTTATATTATAACTATATATGTTATATTATCATATACTATATATTATATTGTATACTATATATTATATTATATATTATATCCTATATTATATATTATATATTATAACATATGTTATATTATATCATATGTTATATTATATACTATGTATTATATTATATATTATATCCTATACTATATATTATATTGTATGTTATATTATAACTATATATGTTATATTATCATATACTATATATTATATTGTATACTATATATTATATTATATATTATATCCTATATTATATATTATATATTATAACATATGTTATATTATATCATATGTTATATTATATACTATGTATTATATTATATATTATATCCTATACTATATATTATATTGTATGTTATATTATAACTATATATGTTATATTATCATATACTATATATTATATTGTATACTATATATTATATTATATATTATATCCTATATTATATATTATATATTATAACATATGTTATATTATATCATATGTTATATTATATACTATGTATTATATTATATATTATATCCTATACTATATATTATATTGTATGTTATATTATAACTATATATGTTATATTATCATATACTATATATTATATTGTATACTATATATTATATTATATATTATATCCTATATTATATATTATATATTATAACATATGTTATATTATATCATATGTTATATTATATACTATGTATTATATTATATATTATATCCTATACTATATATTATATTGTATGTTATATTATAACTATATATGTTATATTATCATATACTATATATTATATTGTATACTATATATTATATTATATATTATATCCTATATTATATATTATATATTATAACATATGTTATATTATATCATATGTTATATTATATACTATGTATTATATTATATATTATATCCTATACTATATATTATATTGTATGTTATATTATAACTATATATGTTATATTATCATATACTATATATTATATTGTATACTATATATTATATTATATATTATATCCTATATTATATATTATATATTATAACATATGTTATATTATATCATATGTTATATTATATACTATGTATTATATTATATATTATATCCTATACTATATATTATATTGTATGTTATATTATAACTATATATGTTATATTATCATATACTATATATTATATTGTATACTATATATTATATTATATATTATATCCTATATTATATATTATATATTATAACATATGTTATATTATATCATATGTTATATTATATACTATGTATTATATTATATATTATATCCTATACTATATATTATATTGTATGTTATATTATAACTATATATGTTATATTATCATATACTATATATTATATTGTATACTATATATTATATTATATATTATATCCTATATTATATATTATATATTATAACATATGTTATATTATATCATATGTTATATTATATACTATGTATTATATTATATATTATATCCTATACTATATATTATATTGTATGTTATATTATAACTATATATGTTATATTATCATATACTNAGGCAAGAAACATTGCTAGGATTATGATATCCGGATCTTTGAGCATGTTTAGCAACCGGTTAGTTTTTTATTTGTCAATGTTTTGTTTTGGTTGTGCTGTAATCAAATTGTAATCAAATTGACTGTCATTTTACATATAGGTTCTTCTAGCCTGAGTGTTACTACTAGCAAGTGAGTGAGTTGCACTACATTTGTATTGATTTGGTTTTTGTACTTTCTCCGTCTTCCCCTGTGTGTGTGGTGGTTTGGTTCAGTGCAATGTCTTTGTCATAAGTACATGTAATGATTGTTGTTCTTATTGTCTTTACTTAAATTGTGCAAAACATATCATTGTTATAATGTGGTAATGTCTCGAGCTCTTCTTTCTTTGAAGACAAAGTAACAATCACATTTTGTGTTGAACAGACACGAGAAAAGTGGGAATGAACAGTTTTGTACTGAACTTAGCAAATGGATTTTCCATGAAAGAAGTCACCTCAAAGTTTGTTTCCATCTAAAGCTCAATGATTTCATGTTCTGAACCTGTTTGAGTTTTTTTTATCGTGGCCAACTAATCGTCTCTTTGGGACACTGGTATTAATAATGGGTGCCTTGCAGAAATAGGGAATTCAAATTTCCACATCACTCTTGGTTTCCCGTTTAAATTATATCTTTGAGGTTTCTTGACTGCCCTGTTGTTCAAAAAAGTACTTAATGCATGTTAAGAATAAGTAAGTGAAGTGACTGGATTCTCTTTTTGTGTTAAACTTTTAATTGGGGCATTACTTTTGTTAAGGGATTACTCTGTTGAAGTATACCTGGTAAGAGTTGAGAACCATGTGTGGCTGATGAACTGCAAGTTCAGTTTTACATGATGAGCCCCTATGTTTTGAAAACACTTTCTAATGATTGGAAGGTGTTATTTACTTATTCAATAATCTTACAAATTACTGTATTGTTTTACTGTTCCGACATTTTGGATATGCCTTTTTTCTTAACTTCTTTATATTTGCAATGTTATTGCATAATTAATCCTTTTATTGAAACAAAATGGAAAAAGCGATAACATTGTGAAAGTTTTCTTTTACTTTGTCGGCGTCGTCCCAAAGATTGCCGAGAAATTCCACCCCTGTACACCAACGATAAGCTAAGGGAACTTTCAACTCATAAATGTTTGCAAGGTGAACCACGACGACAGAACAGGCAAAGCACGGGGGTTCTGGCACCAGGATTTACAAAAAGGAAGGCGTTTCTTACCACGTGGTCCAATTTTATTATTTTTTAGTATCTTTTTTTGTTATTATTTTCCATTGAAGGGAAATTTATTTTCCTCTCATTTATGTAGTGACATTATATGTTGGAGACATAGATGAGGAGAGGAGCAGGTACGTCCGCCAAACTCTGCCGATGACCCATGATGGGACACCTAAGGAGTGTTCCCTAGCTCAACTGCTCACCAGACAGGGAAGCTATGGTTTGAGCTTTTAAGGTCATAATTCCTTGTTTATTTATGCCTGTTGCTTTAGGTATTTTAAATTTAATCCAATCTTTTAGTTTTTCTGCAAAAAATAAGCCTTGCATCAGAGTGAACATGGCAAATGGCTGCGAACCTCCCCTCGACGTAGGCGATGACAAAGTTGTTTCAGTCGACGAGCATTGAGAAGATCTCCCTATATATGTCCTATCTGCAGATCGTGAAGGTGTTGGTATCGCCCATCCTAATTGCCTATTTTTACTCTTCATCAAAGTCTGTCTGTCCAAGTTGCAGGTGCACTTTCTGCCATTTCTTTACTTTTTATTTTTTTATTTTTTTATATATGATATATGGTTGGTTGTCTATTGTTTTATTCGTAGTATGCCTTTGCTGGTATTAGTTAGACCAATGATACTTGCATTATTTTTGGCAGGGATCCCACTCGACCAAAACTAAAAGTGAGGTTAGTGGGATCAGAAGGAAGACTTGGTGGCAAAAGGGTACAGAACGAGCAAGGCACGAGACATTGTTTGCCCCACATGTGCCTTTGTTTTGTCTGGACATTTCATGCCCCACACCTGAGGTTAGTTCGTGGCTTTGCTTTTGATTTTATCGACATCGGTTGATCAAATATGACACACTGTTTGAGTTTGAGAATTTGTCTGAAAACATTGTTTGGCCAAGAGTAATTTACATTCCGAAGCTGCAACATCGTTGTTGTCCTTGTCGTCGGATATAATTTGTTGTATCGTAGACATCACTTCTTAATCTTGTCTGCCCTGATATTTCTTGGAATTGGTATTGAGAATAATTTGGTTTTAATATGTGGAATCAGATGGATTTCGATAGTGGATGCTCACTTCATTATGTTTTTTTAATTTAGACAAGGTAAGTTTTTCACTATATTTACTTTGCACATCTTAACTAATTGTGTGGTTTTAAGTAAGTAGCATAAAGTCGTACTTTTTAGAGATAATGAGGAAGTTAGAGTTGTTCACTGATTATTTTATATAGTAATTATTTAGGAAGTTAGAGTTCTTCACTGATTTTTTATATAAGAATTATTTTATTCTCAGTTTTACAGGTGTCATCAGTTTTCTCTATTCTATATTTATTATTATTATTTTTTTTTTCGGGACAAGGGGTGAGTTCGATAGTATGTGTTCCTGTAGAGTTAGCACTTATTATAACCGGTGCAATTCTCATGAGGATATTTGGACCTAATTTATTATTCATTTCACTTCTGCTAAATTTGTTGCTGAAGATAAACACTGACTTAAATAATTAAAGCAGCAATAATATGAACGATGGGTAACGAAAATGATAATTGTTGGCGTGTAAAATGTGTCAAGGCCCTATAATGCAGTGAATATGAATATTTTGTATGTTAGAATGAAAAAATTGCTCTTGATTGTTGGTATGTTGAGTTCATGGCCTCAATGATGTTTATTTACTTATTCTTGTGACATGAATTGTGTGATTGTTCGAACTGTATTATTGTCAGTTTTTTAGTTTTCTCTGCCTTCAATATAGGACTAAAATATGAAAACGCACCGTTTTTGTGCGACTGATTTTATTCTGCTCTTTCGAGCTCTTGTAGAGTTCCCGTTGTGGAGTAAAGAGAAATCCAAACTCCGGTGGCCTGCCGCCTCTGATTCCGGCTCCAATTTCGGTCGTCTGATGCTTTCTGTCGGAGAACTAACCTTTCGCCTGAATTTAGAGACTTCAATTTTTGCAGTATACACGACAAATGGAATTATTTCACGCATTCTTTATCATGTGGTGGTGCTTGGATATTTGACGGCGCAAATGCGTATTTCAAAGGTAAGAGATCTGGCGGTTGATACTGGTTGGTGATTTGGTCTCATGATTATGTTATTCTACTGGTTTCCCCGAGTAATTTCATGAATAAGCGAACTATTCAACATCACTCGATGAAATCAGCTTGCTTAACTGTTATCTTGTTCATCTTTTTAGTTTAGATCTCCAAATTATTAGATCATTTTCAAGCTACTGCACTAATATTGATGTTTATTCGGTTAAATAATTGTATTGTTTCTTATTGTTTTGTTCACATAGTGTCAAAATTTGGATATGACAAATTTATGCATTGAAATAAATTTATGAATTGAATGTCAGTGTATTGAAAGCCGAGTTTATATGTTTTTTGTTCTGGGTTTTCGATCATGGCAAACGGTAATGTTAGATTTGTCAAATTTAGAACAATTATCTTTCGGGACTGACAAAAAAGCAATCAATATTTTACAATTAGACTAAACGTGGGCCGGCTGTGCGTGCACAGCCAAAGGGCTACTAGTATAAATTATAATATAAATTAAAAATAAGTGGATAACAATGAGGTAATTGCTATTGTTATTGTTGTGGCCCAAATGAGGATGGCCCAATAATATTTCTTTCACAAGGCCCAGCCACCTAACATGACCCAATTGCTTTTCCCTGATTTCCTTTTTCCACTTCTCTGCACGTAACATTCGAGTGAGATGTTGTTTTGAATTCTGCTCTTATCACTTGCGGGATTATCTCAACTGTAAAGTTCTCCGATTCCATCTGAACGTTCAAATCCCTTTCTCTTTGTCTTTATAAAAATCGATCCCTGGGGGGCTATGAGATTAGTGAGATGAGTGAAACCCTAGAACTTGATTTCCTCTTCAGATCCAAGGTGAATTTGATATTCCTCTTTGTGAGTGAGCCCGAGACTTCTTTTTCTTCTTTGTGAGTGAATAAGATGATTGAAACCTAGGTTATTTAGATTCTTTGTGAGTAAACCTAGTTTCTCCCTCTTTGAGTAGGGCCTGGGAACTTGACGGGTAACATCGAAACTCTGTGCGAATTTGTTGTGTGCTTCCAGAAATAAAATTACCAGTGATGTGTGGCCAGCCCGAAGCTAGTATCTAGTGATAATTTGTGGTTATTTTGTATGGGGCCTGAGCCTGAAATCAACAATAAAGCGCTCTGATTTCGTCTCCAAACTCGGTGATTTTGTTCTCTTATGGCTTGTATTATTTCAGTTATTATTTGTTCCGAACAATTCATTTGTTCTCTGTTTTTTCTCTTGCAGATATCCACCAGTTGCTGTTTGGGGCTAATTGTTGCTGTCCGGGCTCGTTACATTCTTGTTCGGGCTCGTGGAATTGCTGTTCGGGTTTCTCAGCTTGAACCGAACGAGCCAGGTGCCTACCGGGATAGAAAGGGTGCTGCTCGGGAAAAACCGGGGGCTATCCGGGAGCGATCAGGTGCTGTCCGGGACCTAGTTGCGGCTGTTCGGGGCCTGCTCGGGCCCAGCGAGTCGAGGCAGACGACCACCCAACAGCTATTAAGAGGTTTATAGTCGTAAAAGTACTCAGGTCACACACTAAAGTACCTAAATTACGAAAAAGGACATGTCTCTACAAATAAGAAGACAACAAGAGCATTTTCAAGTCCTGCGCTTGCGGGTTTTGATCTGATTGTAGATGTAGTTGATGACCTCCTTGAGCGTGGCCTTGCGGTTCTCCTTGAAGTTCCATAGCTCAAGACGCTCAGGTTGCACTCTTGCATCTCCATCAGGGCCGTGGTCACAGCCTCGTATATCTCTTCGCCCCACTCTTCCCGAAGCCCACACAACTCCTCGTCCTCCTCCTTGATCTCCCTCTACAATACATGAAATGAAATAGGTTATGCCTAGTTTCAACCTTTCAAATAATTTCAATTTCCTTCACAAATCCCCAATGGCTTCTTTTTTTTCTTCTCTAATTTTGGTTAGATCTTAACCGTAGGGTTTTGTAAATCTATATTTATAAAAGATATATATATGTAACCAAACAAAAGACTTACGGAAAGGCGTTTAGATGAACCTTGGCATTCCCCTTCTCATCCTCGACCACACGGAACGGGTGCCACTCAGCATTCTTCATCTTCTCTTGCCATAAGGAATAAAGTTCATCGGCCTTCATCTCAGCCTCTCCAGATGAGAATCTTTTTCTACATATAGTTTTGAAGGCATTTTCATCAATCCACCCATTCTCTTTATCCCGATGTTCGCACGGCTGCTGCTGTGTCACAAGTATTACTTCGACAACTAATTCAATGAAATTGATTTTTAGGTGATAACTAATTCAACGAAATTGATTTTTAGGTAACCAATTCCATAAAACAATGTCTCCTGGTTGGTACTGAGTCGTGAAATAAATGCAATAAGTTCAAACAAATGAATAAGCTAGTTCCACAAGTTTATCCAACACATAAACCAAGCAAAGATACAGGATACGCAAATAGTTTCTCAATAAAATACGAACAAAGATCCAATTTTAGAGTTTCCCACCCTTCCTTTGTAATTGCAACAATTAAAGGAGTAAGAAATCAGGACAAGAGACTGTATTTTTTCGGTTGCATTCGAAAGTCGAAAGTAATAATACCTCAATAAGCACTTTTCAAGCCTCCTCAACCTCCTCGCTGTTCAGGGCTCTTTTGTGCGCAACTGGTTCTTCAATTTCCCAGATACTTCATCAGTGCTTCTTTCTCCCTCTGAATGTCACCAATTATGTTAAAAGGATAGCATGCATAACATGAAAAATATACTGCTAATACCATACTATAGTTTAACTATAAACTAGATTAGCTTTTGCCTTTCATGTTCAACTTTCAACTCACATTTATTCGATTCTTTAGTCCAAGAATCAAGTCGCCCCTTTCTATCAGTCAAACCCAGCTCTGATTCTAGTAATTTGGCACCCATCAATGTTGTTCGGTCTTTTGTGGGTTCTAAAAAGTCGGAACAATGCTGTTCAACTTGATCGAACCGTGCACTCTCACAGAAGAAAAGGATTAGTTGCAAGATTGCCTAGCAATCATTTTCGGTTGGACGTCTTCTTTTTCCCCAGTGTGTGTATGGCATTTTCGAGGGTCGATTTGTTGACAATTATGTCAGCTATGGTACCATATCCCGTCGCCGTTAACATAGATTGGTAATTGCCGTAGAACTTGACTTCATTCCCGTCCTTCTTGAATGGCAATTTGTCATCGGGTCCCACATGGAGCTGATTCCACCTTGATAATTCGATGTGCTTAAATGCCACAAGGTAGAGATCCACAACCTTGAACATTATGAAAAATGCTTAACTTCCTTTGCCGGCATAGCAACAACTACTTCCCGTAAGGTGGACTCATTCGGTAAAAGACTTATCTCATTAACAACAAATTTACCGGAGAGCTCCTCACGCCACTCTGCGTGGAAAGAGGTGAACCCATTCCGTCTAAAAGTTTCAAAGTTGAGTAATTTTCGGATTAAGGCCATAGTACCAAAATCTCTGAACGGGGTGGGAGATCTGGAAGTCGGCAGTGAGGTGGGCGGGGAGAGTCTGGCCAGGTGGCAGCGGTCTCCGGCTGCGGCTCGGTGGTGAAGTTGGCGGACGCCGTGAGGGCCGGAACAGGAAATCTAGGGCGTGACCACCGGGTTTGGTGCCACGTCACGCCTTCATAAGGAACTCACGATATGGTAATAAATATGATGTGGTGCTCCTAATGCAGGTATGATGTGGCACCGAACCCGGTGGTCACGTCCTATATTTCCTGATCCGGCCCTCACGGCGTCCGTCAACTCCACCACCGTGCCGCAGCCGGAGACCGCCGCCACCTGGCCAGGCTCTCCCAGCCCACCTCAATGCCGACTTCCAGATCTCCGACCCCTTCAGAGATTTTGATACTATGGTCTTAATCCGAAAATTACTCAACTTTGGATCTTTTAGACGGAATGGGTTCACCTCTTTCCACGCGGAGTGGCGTGAGGAGCTCTCCGGTAAATTTGCTGTTAATGGGATAAGTCTTTTACTGAGTGAGTCCATCTTACGAGAAGTAGTTGTTGCTATGCCGACAAAGGAAGTCAAGCATTTTTCCATGGTGTTTAAGGCTGTGGATCTGTACCTTGTAGTATTTAAGCAGCTCGAAGTAGCAAAGTGGAATCAGCTCCGTGTGGGACCCGATGACAAATTGCCATTCAAGAAGAAGGACGTGGGTGAAGTCAAGTTTTACGGCAATTACTAATCTATGTTAACGGCGGCGGGGTATGGTACCATAACTGACATAATTGTCAACAAATCGACTCTCAAAAATGCCATACACACACTGGGGGAAAAAAACAACGTCCAACTAAAAATGATTGCTAGGGCGATCTTGCAGCTAATCTTTTTCTTTTGTGAGAGTGTACATTTCGATCAATTTGAACAACATTGTTCCGACTTTCTAGAACCTACAAAAGACCGAACAGCATTGATGGGTGCCAAATTAATAGAATCAGAGCTGGGTTTGACTGATAGAAAGGGACAGCTTGATTCTTGGACCAAAGAATCGAATAAGTGTGAGGTGAAAGTTGAACGTGGAAAGCATTAGTTAATTCAGTTAAACTATGGTATTAGTAATATATTTTTCATGTTATGCATGCTATTCTTTTAACATAATTGTTGACATTCACTGACGAAGTATCTAGAGAGAAATTGAAGAACCAGCTGCGCACAAAAGAGCTCCTGAGCAGCGAGGAGGTTGAGGAGGCTCGAAAAGTATCTCGGAAAAATACAGTCTCTTGTTCTGATTTCTTAATGCTTTAATTGTTGCAATTACAAAGGAAGAGTGGGAAACTCTAAAACTAGATCTTTGTTCGTATTTTGTTGATAAACTATTTGCGTATCCTGGTTTATGTGTTGGATAAACTTGTGGAACTAACCTATTCATTTGTTTGAACTTATTGCATTTGTTTCACGACTCATCAGTACCAAGTACCAACCACGAGGCATTATCTGATGGAATTGGTTACCTAAAAATCAGTTTCATTGAATTAAGATGTCGAAGTAATACTTGTAACACTTGCCTGGCTTTTTTTCTCGAGCAGCCCTTGCGATAAAGAGAATGGGTGAGAATGATGAAAATGCCTTCAAAACTGTATGTAGCAAGAGATTCTCATCTGGAGAGGTTGAGATCAAGGCCGGTGAACTCTGTTCCTTATGGCAAGAGAAGATGAAGAATACTGAGTGGCACCCGTTCTATCACCTCCTTCCTAGAAGCGGGTTTTTGAAAGCCTCATCGGATGAGGCACCATTTATTAGGGATGCAGAACAGCATATATCTCCCTTTCCTACCGTACATGTACAGGTAGGTGGATCCTACAGGAGCAGGAGATAGCTTTCTGGGCGGGCTGCTGCAGGGCCTGACCGACCCAGATGCAGCCTTCTTAGGGAACTTTGATTTGAGTTTATTGCAGGTTGGTTTTGAAACCCATGTCTTTCTTCCGTTTTTTGCTTCGATTCTTGATAATTGTGCTGATTTTTGTGTTAATTTTCACATATATTGCTCTTGAAGTTGTTGCATGTCATATTTGGGCCTGTAAGATTCATAAGTTTGGATCATTTAGGGGTTGCGAATTGGAGTTTCCTATTTTACATTGACTAATTGATTATGTTGTAGTTTGTAGAGGAATTTGCATGCTCAAAATTGGTTGTGTATGATAAATTATTTGCGCAGAACTGAAGTGCTGCAATGCTCTTTCACAGTGACTGTCTTTTACTTCTTTGTGTGAGGAAGCCATGTAGGAATTTTTACTGTCATATGCGGTGTTCTCTATGCCTTCTACAGTTATTCTTATTGCCTAAGTCTTCAAGTTGGGTTGTAATCTGACTTATTTTACCGCCTAAAGCCGAATGCGTCACCTTTGTACAGGAATATAGGGGTGGAGAGGGAAAAGAAATTAATATGAACTTCAAGGAAGCTCGGGAGTATGATGCCGGCAGATAACGACAGCTTAAAGTGCGCGATCGATCACATTCTTGAAGCCCAACAGAAGGGAGAGATCAACGAGGACAATGTTCTTTACATTGTTGAGAACAAAATTCTCTATTTTCTGGGTTTTTGACATTCCTGAATTAAAATTTGATTTTTACATTTCTAAGCAATCGGAACAATAATCTCACAGTAGTTCGCCTTTTTCATGTATGAGGTAGAATTCCATTTATCTACTCTCTTGTGTATATTTCCCCTGAATTCCAACGAGTTTTAAAAAAAAAAAAATTATCTGAAGGTCAATTTTTTGTGAGACGAGGGTGGTTGGTTCTATAGAATTCTGCCTTGTGTGTGGCTATCTGTCTTTCCACGTAAACTTATCCCATAAGTGATCACGACCACCAAACCTAACTAACTCTTGAATATTTCAGTCTCAATTTTCACATCTTTAGGAGTCAATTTTTCGCCTCATTCAATATAAGCTCTTGTTAAATTACAAGGCCTATATTGCAGCAAGAATTGTCCCAAATGTCCGATTGTGACATTTTACTTCTTTACAGCAATCGAGACAAACACTATGGTCGATCGAGTGAGGCATAGCTGAGCTAGTGAACCATCCAGAAATCCAGAACAAACTTTGGGCCGAGATGGAGACTGTTCTCGGGCCCGGTGTCCAAATCACCGATCCCGATTTCGAATGGCAATTCCACTCCTCGTCCCTCGCATGAACCTCCATGATGCCAAGCTCGGAGGCTATGACATCCCAGCTGAGAGCAAGATCCTGGTCAATGCCTGGTGGCTTGCAAACAACCTGGCCCACTGGAAAAAGCCCGAAGAGTTCAGGCCCGAAAGGTTCTTTGAGGAGGAGTCCAAAGTTGAGGCCAATGGAAATGACTACAGGTACTTAACGTTTGGTGTGGGCCGTAGGAGCTGCCCAGGAATTATACTCGCGCTCCCGATTCTTGGGATTATCATTGGCCGCCTCGTGCAGAATTTCGAGCTCCTTCCGCCACCTGGACTGTCGAAGATCGACACGACTGAGAAGGGGGGGCAATTTAGTCTGCATATATTGAAACACTCGACGATTGTTCTGAAGCCGAGGTCGATTTGAGATGGAGATATTTGTACTCTTTTTTTTTTGACACATTTTGGTGGTGTGGTTTTTGTGGTGTTGCTTTGTGTGGATTGTGGCTGAGTTTGCTCTGGAAATGTGTCTTTGTAACTCGTTGTTGTCTTTTACGATTTGAGAAATGAAATCATGTGTTTTATGTTGAAATATATGAAGCTTTGTGTTGAACTGTCTTTTTACATTTTGTGGACTTGATTAATTATAGGAAAAGTCTAAAGTCCCGTTGTGTCTTTTAACGGGACTATTCCATTGAACTTTAAGCCAATACATGACTGCCACATCAATTTTCCAATATACACCCGGTGCATCGTATTATTGCATACGGAACTAGTTATTAATCACTTAATCCACCTTAACTATCCACCTAAAATTGTAACAAGTGAATCAAATTGCATAACTTTTTTTTTTTTTTCTTTCCAACCGCTATATAAGCAAAATGGATTATTAAAAATTTCACTCAAACAAATTAGTTTGAACTTTAATACTCCTTTTTTATGAATTATTAACGGACATAACTTAACCAAAATCAATAATTTTAAATTAATGTTTGTTATAAATTATAAGGATTTTGAATAAAAAATTGCATATAATTTTTAAAATAATATTATTATATTTCATGTCACTAGCTAGGTCATATTATGGCGATGTTATATTGTCCCGGTTCAGATAAATTTGTTTTCTTGTCGAACCAACACAATGTTAATCTAAACTAGTACAACATTCGTGTATTACACAAAGGTTAGTTAGGAATTCAAATTTAAATTTAAAAATTAATTAATAGAATTACTAGTTTTAAAATTTATTTGTTTTCAAATCGCCCCTATATATAATTTTCGAATGCGCTAGGCTTATGTGACAGGCTCGTGTGCTTCGTAAGTTTATTTGACATGAATTGGTGCTTCGTATTGACACATGTTCAAGTTTAGTTTCGACTATTAGCCTTGTGAATTACCATAAATTATTTCATCTTCTCTTTTTTCTTAAGTTACCATATACAACTCTTATCTTTTTAATTTAATTTATATATTAGTTATTATAAATATGTATTCTTTTTGTTTTTAAAACTTGATAATTTTTTATTTTTATATTATTATTTATATATAATCTATCAAAATAATCATATTTTAACGATCTTTGATTTGACATCCATATTCAATATATAAAATGAATAATAATTTCATCAATATTTATAAATAAAATTAATATTATTATCAACTCAATTTAAAATACATAAAATAACAATATAAACTATTTTATAAAAAAATAAAAATCTAATTCATTAATACACCATAAAATAATCATTTTATTGTTTTTTCCATAAATTTTGGAAAAAAATATAAAATTAAGTATTACATGAAATAAATTTTAAGAAATATTATAAAATATTATCACTCAATTTAAATAAATTATATAAAAAAACTGAATGTTACTATAATATTTAAAATAGTAAATATAAAAGAATATCATAATTAAATATAAAAATAATAATTTTGTATTTAATAAAGGTAGAAAATAATGAATTTCTATGTAAATTCTAAATTACAAGTTATATGAATTTAAAATAATTGAAAAATTAATAAACGTGAGACACTGATTCTATAAATATAAAATATAATCACAATATAATAAAATTTGTTTTGTTTACAAAAATAAATCAAATATATAGAGTTGTAAATAATATCAGTTTTATACATGATATTGTATATTATACCTAAATGAGTAGACCGGCTCACTCAACCGATTTAACGAGTCAAAGCAAACCGAGCAGGCTGGCTCGATCGAACAGAATCGAGCATAGTGGTCATGGTCGAACACCACGAGAACAGCGTATGTGGGATTCCAGTACAAGGAGAATAGGTCGGTCCCTGGTCTATCAAGGATCTGGTCGAAGATCGACCTGTCGAGCAAAGGGTCGTTTGATCGACCACTTCACAGACTGAGAGTAGTCCGAGGATCGGCCTAGAAACGGTTGAGCACAAGAGCCTTCGAGGAGATTTCAAAGAAATCTTTACCCCATGTGCGGAGGACAGAAGGCGCGACTTGATTGGTTTATGACGATAACTATTTCTGTTACACGCACACTGTGTGTGTACGAACGGGCAGCCCGGGTAGTTTTGGACAACCAGCTCAGCTAATCCGGGCAGCCTCTATATGCAGGTACCTCACCGCTATATATAGGGATGAGCTTTACATTTTGAGCACGGTTAATCTATTTTTATTTTTGAGAATCGAGTAGAGCTTGAGACTAATTTAAGCATCGGAGGCTCTTCACCGGAAAACCCTCCTGTGTGAGAGTTCTTTGCAGGTACTCGGCGTTCAACCTGCGAGGTGGTGGTTCGTGCTAGCCGTTTTCAGCCGATCGAAGGTTTTGACGTGCCAATACGTATATAATTTTAAAATAAAATTAAAAAAATATCTTTTTTTACAATTTTTAGTGTAAAAATACGAGCACCATTTTAATTAATTATCATTTTACTAGTTAATTGTTGCATATTCATCATACATATAATTTCACAATGAAAATATAAATTATCATAATTTTTATTATACACATATAAATATATTTAAGTACTCGTGTAGTACACATGTACCATACTAGTGTATTTTTATTTATAATTAAAACGACACATGTCGTTTGTAAGATGTACGAACCTTATATTATTATATTTTTTCTAATAAATAAAATAACCTTAATGAGTAATAGTTACAAGTATAGTTGAATTACGTAAAAAAAAAATATATATTTTATTACGAAATTACCATAACAGTTGGACATTTAGAATATAATAACTGAAATAGGCTTAAAAAGTAATTTATTGTAAATTATTTTTATTATATAAATACCATATTTTGTTAGACATTATAAACCTAAAATATGACAATGAATTAAAAAATAATTTAATGTTTTTATCATATTTAAAAAATGTTGTTTAAAATTATTATTCATATTTATTAGTACTATATATTTTTCTTAAGTTGCTAATGAAAAAATTACCTAAACATAAATTATAAAGCAAAAAAATTATACAAGTAGTGGGAGGGTTGTTAGGACTGTGTGCTTTCATCTCCACCTATATATTGTGGTATTACATCCAATCCAAGGGATAACAACATCCACTAAAATCGTGAGGTGCATAATGGAATGACTGCTCGTTGCCGGCACGGGACTTTAGCCACTCCCTTAATTATATTAGGATTGGAGAAATGGTTTGTTGTATGTTTATCTGTCTATTTTATAATCAAAGAATGAGTTATTTTTGCAAGAAATTAGAGGGATTAAAATGTATTTTAAATTTGATATATTTTGATGACAAAATGTGAATTCTCTTGATGATCATTTTGTCATAGAAATTCTGACTACCAAATAGAACTACCTACCACTTAAAAAATGTTAACTATATTTTAGATCAATAAAACGAATAAATAAAATTTTATGAATAAATATATAAATTATAATATTGCTTAAAAATAAGTGGATAACATAAGGAATTCTGTCAAAATGTGTATGAGGTAATTGCTATTAAGTATTAAGGTTTATGGTTGTAAAAGTAAGATTGGTGTTTTTTGTGACATGACAAATTGAAATCTGAAAACATAGATTTATGGGTTCTGATTATTAAAGTTGCTATTAGTCTAACACTATAGCTTCTTCAAAATTCAAGTTACCTATGGAAGGAATGTAACATCTATTAATACCGAAATTAATAATACTACATAAAATTATTTGGTTATTTTTAAAATACACTAAATGAAATATTAAGTACGAAACTAAAAATATAGAAATAATAATAATAATAATAATAATAATAATAATAATAATAATAATAATAAATTATATGATACTTCACTAAAAGAAAAGAAGAAAGAGTGTCTTGAAAAAAAATATAATAATAATAATAAAATTACTATTTATCAGTTAAATAGATTTTTTTATCAAGCATATTATATGATATAAGTTTAATGATTTTGCAATAAAGACTACCAAGCCTTATGGTTGACAGTGTAATTTTAAATAAGAATAATAATGCAGTTTTTAGAAAACATTAAACAATTTAATTTTTTTATTTTAGGTATAATAAATATTAATTAAAAAGCGTGAATTACACGAGTATTGTACCGTTAGTATTATGAGTTATTTATAATTATGGCATAATTGATATAATTTATTAAATTTAAATGGGACAAAAATGAGTTGAAGAACGGAATAGTTATATAGAAAATAAAAAAAATAAAATCTTCTAATGATGTCTTTGGTAGGTTAAAGGAATCAGATTTTAATTGAATAATATTATTATCTCTTATCATCATTGTGTTCTCAAAATATTAATTTCAATTTTATATGTATATTGTTTTTCAATCTATTTTAATATAGTGTTGTTTTTATATCTTTTAATAATCGTATTATACTTATATCACGTATTTTTATGTTATTACACTGATATTATATAATTTTTTTTTCCCGAAACGATAAAGTAACTATTATAAATCAAAACGCACAATGTGCGAATAAAAGTACAGAGCTCCCAACGGGAGAATAAAATGGGAGGACAAGTCCTATGACTGCCTAGAATCCCGATACTAGCAACGCTAGAAACCAAAAAACAAAGAGCACAACACAAAAACACACGACAAAAACTAAGAAAAACTACAAAGGCTCCCAACAGGAGAATAGAGACGGGGGCAGATCCCAACGGGATAATAAGCGTGCTCCCGCTCAAATACTGAAGCCAAATGGCCCAAACCAAAACCACCATCCTATAAAAGAGACCAGAAAATAAATAGGACAAAACAAAATCACACAAGACAAAACAAAACAAAAACACAAACTAAACTAAACGAGCCCTTCCTTAGCAGTAACACCGAGTCAACCAGCGGAAACAAGTCGACCACAAATCCCGTGGCCAGGAGCATCGATCCCGAAACTGCCTAAACCCCTCGGGTGCCTAACGGAGACGAAGCCCCAACCCCGGAACCGCATCAGG